TTACATACTGATGAAATTTGAATAATATTTTTTGATCTTACCGACATAATAGAAAAAACTAAACTGGTTATTTGAATAAAAAATCATGAGTGCAATTACTTTAATTTAAATTTTTTTGTTTTTAAAAAATACTAAAAAAGGGCTAGAAATAATAGATTTTCACAAAAAAGGGAACTTGAAAAAAAAAAGTCGGACTGAAGACAGAACTCGAACCAGGGTACTACGATATTGACCCGCCCGATATCCTATCCTAGCTAGATCGATTTATTGCCCTCGAAACCCCCAGGATACAAAATTTTATGAAAATCGTTGGAGCCGTTTCTGAAATTCCGTTTATAAGATTAATCCTACATTAAAAACAATAATGTCTTCCGACTGAACTCCGATCACTGCACCCAGTGACAAATGCGTAGAACAGGATTGAAGTGCACGAGGGTGTGCATTGCAAGCACAGGTGCACTCTCTATTCTCTCTCATTACTCCAATCTGACATGACCGGAGACAGATCAGGCGCAAAACCAACAGCTTTATGTGCTTTCAGGGGCAAGAGAGTGGAACACCGCCAACTTCTTGATTATGGGCTGCTAATGAGAAATTCTTGAAAAACTCATCTGATTTTGGCCCTAACTCTACGATCAATACACCAACGAGGCAGTAAATATATTATCATACTAAAATAGCATATATACTGAATAGATTATCCGATTTTATCAAGAAGTAATTAAGGAGGCTACACACTTCGCGTCTATTCATGGTAGGTAAGGGCTTTTTAAGCAATAAGACACGCTAACCATGCCTCCTCGGCAAATATAGCCTCGTTACTGACGATCTCAGATGATGCATACTGTGGTACGTCATAGTAGTGCGTACTTATCCAGTATTAAATTCATTTTGAGTTTACTTGAGTACGCCAAAGTATTCATCTATGTAATAAGTAGTAAAGTAGTAATCCAACCTCTGAGTTTTGATGTAGACCCCAGAAATTTTTCAAAAATTGCACTTAAGCGCCATTTATGACAGCAACGAAATAAAATGGATGGTAGAATCCATAAAGTAAACCCTAAGTATTGAATTAAGTTTACTTATCTAAGTCTATTAAAAAAATGGTTAAACACGATTTGAATGAGTTCCATGTGCATGCTAACGAAAGCAAATATCGATAACAGAAGAGCAATACGTCGTGGAGTAATCGAAAGAGTCGGAAGGAGTGTGCTCCCTCTTACGCATCGTATCATATCCCGATGGCAATGCTGTTGATATGATATTATGGCAAGATTGTATTTCCACGCGTAATGACATGAATGGAGTAGTTTAAGGTGAAATATTTGATAAAGATATAAATAAATAAAAACTTTGATTTGCAATGCCATTTTATTTACAATATATTAATATTCTCTTTTATATTTTCATTTTTTCAAGTATTTTTCATCATCGGTTTCAAAATCAGGCACTGCTTTTATACATTCATTTCAAGCGTTAACACTTAAAATGATTTAAAACATAGAGACCTCACTTTTTAAGTAGAATATAGAAAAACTACATTTAACTATTAAATAGGTCATCTTTTACGCCTTTGGCGACAGGAGATCAACTGCGCAGTAATCTCAACAACAATATGGCTAAAGTAATTATTAAACCCAAAATACAACTAGAACAGCATCCGTGTAACGTAATGATCGCACAGTAAAACAACACGTACAAACAATAATTTAACGATGAAATATTTAATGTAACTAATCGTAAGTGATAAAACTAGCTACTACCAAAAATACCGACCGCTTAATGCCCTAAAAGAGGTTGACTTTTAAAAAATAAGTTCTTTGATTTTAAAACTACTCTACTGAGATTTTCAGCCAAGTTTGTTTCAATTTTTTATTCATAAGATTCAGCTTCGGTTACCTCGCATAAATAAATATGAACCACCTAACGGAACTGTTACGTCTATAACTATTTGTCACCATATTAGAAAATATATAATAATAGTACAGTTTTCTTATTCCTATCATTTCCATACAAGGTATTAAAGATTTACTCAAGCGAAGTTCTATATACTGAATTTCATTTAATTCTATAATTATTTGAATTGTTCTAGCAAACGAATTCTCACATCGATTGAGAAAAAATTCTTCAGATGTTAAATTTGTTAAGTAGTAGTGAATATTGAAAAGAACAATTAAAATACAGATTATTCTACTTAATTATTTGAATAATTAACGCAGTATGACAACACTGAAAGGACCCTTGCGGACATCAGCATAACAAACACCAACGCTATTGTTGAAAGGTGGTTTTTTAAGCGTTGCCGCCATTTTGTCAATTATTTTAATTTTTTTTAATAACTAAAACTTTTATTTGAATCTATCGCACAAAATAATATAAGGTCTGTTTTACATTTCTATATATATAGTTGTTGGTTGCTAATCAAAAATGGACCAAAAAGCAAGTCCAGCTTAGCTTATAAGGTCATAAGGTATGCCACAGATAATATATATAAATTTTTACGAGACAAAAAGACGACGCTAGGAAATATTGAAACAATGGTAATTAAAATAAGATCGCGACAAAATCAGATTTGCTTGTTCAAAAAGGATTTTTTTTTAATTTATAACAAAAGCATATTACGTCTTGGTTTAATTTATATCATAATGTCAGATTTATCAATGATATAATGAGTTGATAAATATCAAAAGTTTTTTATATTAATTTGTAGTAAATTAAAAACTAAACATTTTAAAATTTTACAAAATCAAATATGTCCACTTATATGGTATGAAAAATACGAGAAAAACATAGTTTCCTTTCAAAATACATTAAGTCTAGAGATTAATTCATAACAGAAACCAGTATGCCATAACGTCTAATCAAATCAATTCATACGTAAACACTCACGCCTGTCACCCAGAGGGGTAGGCAGAGCAGACAGACTTCCATTTAGCACGATCCTGACATACCTTTCTCGCCTCTTCCACATCCATATACCTACGCATACATGCTCGTCGGTTAAGGGTACTCTTAATTTGGCCCATTTTTAGTATATCGCCAATTTGGTCGACAAACTTCCGCCTAGGACGTCCCTTTCCGACTCTTCCATTCACTTCTGCGACATATATTTGCTTTGTCAGTCTTTCCGCATTCATTCTTTCTACATGACCAAACCACCGAAGCATTCCTTTCTTAATCCTGGTCACCGCATCATCTTGCAAACCACACTCTTCTTTTATCACACAGTTTCTCACCCTGTCACTCAGATTCAGCCCTAACATACTCCTTAGCGACAGCATTTCTACTGCATTTATTCTACTCTCGTGCTTCTTCTGCCACACCCAACTTTCACTACCATACGTTAAAGTAGGGACTAATGAAAAACCAAAAAGTTTTTTGTGCGTTCATGGACTTGGAAAAGGCTTATGACAGAGTGGACAGGGACGTGTTATGGCAAACGCTGAACGCATTTAGGTTGAGCGCTGGTTTGATACAGGCATTAAAGTCTCTGTATAGGGACTCGAGTGCTTGTGTTAGAATCAACGGGGTCTACTCGGACCGGTTTGGCATCCATAAAGGTGCCATACAGGGCTGTGTAGCTTCCCCGTGGCTGTTCAACCTATTTATGGACAGCTTGTTTGGAAAATTTGAAAGTTGAAGAATGCGGGTTAAGAATGGGTGAGTTAACCATCAAATGCCTTTTGTACGCCGATGATCAAGTCATACTTGCGTCGTCGGCGGCCGAGTTGCAAATGATGGTTACATTAATGAACAGGTCATTAAAAGAAAGGGGAATGAAAGTGAACGCAAGTAAGATGAAAGTGATGGTTTTTGAAAGAGATGAAAGCAAAACGGTATGTGAAATAAGAATAGAAGGAGAGTTAATTGAGCAAGTGGATGAGTTCGTATATTTGGGATGTGTATTCAGCAGGGATGGGAGATATGATAAGGATATTGAACGACGAGTGAATGCAAGAAATAAAGTAAATGGGGCTCTACACTCTATTGTGAAAAGTCAGAATGTATCAAAAAAGGCACGTATGGCAACTCACAGTGCTGTATTACTCAAATCAATTCATTCGGCTATAATGGCGGCCATTAGTGTTTCATTTTAATTAGTTAATATAACTTAAAATGGACTCCACTTCTTTGTTGTGTTACATGTTTAAACATGTTGACCCTGATAAAGCAAGGAAAAGAAGTAACATAAAAAACGCAGCAAAAGAAAACGGATAAAAAGCGAAAATTGTAAGTCAATCTTTGTTATTACTTTTAACTAAACGTAAATCAGGCGCAGGGCTGCCACCACATTGCAAGTTTAAACCTATCTTTTTATTTGTTTAGATTTGTATAGATATACCTACCTCATTAACGTTACTTTTGTAGATAGGTAAAAGTCGTTTTCTTTTTTTTCTGTTTATATATACAAATCATCAAGACGGTAACTGTTTTTAGGATTCCGTACCTTCTTCAAAGAAACAAAGGAATAGGGTCGTTTTATTGTCAGTCTATTTGTTGATTTGTGAAGACATTTATAGCGTACTTGCAGCGCCCTGCAATTTTACCCGTGTAGTTTTCATTTCCGTGGGAAAACCCGAATGAAAAGTATACTTTGTTATTTTAGAATATAAACAATTTGTTTCCGAAGTTTCATTAAAAACTGCTCAGTCGTTTTTAGGTAATTGTTTAGTACATATTATTTGATTGAAAGCAAACACACATCAGCAAGCCCGGGCGAAAAGCCAAAAAACCTGTGGGCCCCCACATTTTTTTGCTAGCTGCCGGGTAACCCTGTATATTATCCATATAAACAAATGTATCTCGCTGTAGTTGTTTGCACGGCAATAGATGTCATAATGTGTCAATTCAGTAAGAATAAAGTAATCATTGAGTGAAGATACGTTTCTTTAATTATTTCACCTGCAAGCAAAAGTGCACCTTATTAATAATGTAATAAAGTGTACATGAGTGTGAACAGACCCATTAATTGAAAATAAACTGAAGACACCACAATAAAGATGAGCACAATATCATTGTCACAAAATGCTGAAGTGCGACCCGCGAAGAGAAAAAACGAAGATATCTTAGTAGACCCAAACACGAATGTTGTGATAGAGAACGCTAAGAAACCCAAGATTGAGTTGAACGCTGAAAGGAAGTTCAAATGTATCCCTGCAATAGTTGCTATGTACCATGCTATTTTAAATATTGCTTTCGGGGAAAAGAATGCAAGTGGGAGCGATTGATTCCCCTAATGAAGAACTAAAAGACGCCACCTTAAACATCACGGTAAGTAATCACATAATAAGCATAATATTCACCATACATAATAAATGCAGACGAGACAAAAAGTACAAACACTAATCTCGTACAAAAGAGGAAGGAAACATCTTTCAAGATACACTATTTGGCTAAAGACTATACTTTAACAAATGATACAATACATGAGACTTGGAAAGGCATCCTTACCAATCTTGGTCTTGAATACAAAGATTTTCAAGAAGGTGGTGAAGCAAACTGGTATGGTACGATGGGGCCGTATCTGGATATGTTCTCCTCTTATGTTTTACGCTACAATGAACTCCGATTGGGTCATGACACTATGCCCATCACCAAGGTAGATGGTGTACACAAAAGCTTTCCGGTTACCAAATACCGTCTATCTGGGGCGCACGACGTATTGTTGGAAGGTTCGACATTCCCACCGGAAAGACGCTCATCAATCATACAGAGCTTGGGGCCGATGACAGCATGGATATGCATGATCCGATCGGAGGGGAAGTATGCAGCCGCAGTTAGAGAGCAACGGCCCATGTGCCCTGCATAGATGATCTTTTAAAAATTACTAAAACCAATAAACAAGCGTCTGAGGTAGCCACAATCACCACTTTGATTGCAGAAATTCTCCTAGTTAAAACAGCAAGGCAGGCCACTCGTATGTTCTTCCCCATCTGTATCTTTGCTGCTGTATGGAATAAAAAAACTGACAAGAAGAAGTTTTGCAACTTCTTTAGCACAACAGGTGCTGGTGGGTGGTACGTTCACAAACATGCGATGAACATGCAAACCAAGTTTACGATAAATGGAAAAATGGAAGAAGAAAAAGCATCCCAAGTTACATTCCACAGCATTTTCGGAACTTACAAGGAAGACCTCTCTATTTTGTCTCAAATTACAAATGTGGGGAGATGGTACACTAGAGAGGAGCTTGGAACCGGTTTTAGACAGCAGGGGAGCAGTGGAAAGACAACGAAAATAACTCTTCCTATAGTGCACATGTACTCCAAAATGTCCTTGCGCAAACCAGACAGGTCTCCTCTCAGGAGTCTACAACCAAGTAGCCACTGTCCCTTGCTTTAGTGGCCAGCGCAACCATAAATTTGATGCCTCTTTCTTTGAACATATTGAAAAGAGAAGAGTTATCAGTGCTTTTGGCAAAACAATCCCGCAAATAATAAACATCTTAACAAGTACTTTGGAGAAGTTGCACAACATGCTTAGAAAGGAAGACGGAAGGCTTCGGATGGGGACCACTACTTGAAGAGACATGGGGACCCTTAGTTTAGGAGTGCCCGGGAATGAACTCAACACTAAACTGGAAGGCCAGGGTAGAATGTTCTTGGGAAAGCAATAAGATTTGTATTCGTTTTCCAAATGAACTTTTATTTAGCAACAAACCACACTATATTTCCCTTTTTCAAATAGTAACTTCTTTTTTCTATCACGTATTGCTTACTTTTTTACCAAATTTAGTTTTTTAGAAAAAAAATCAAATATGTACTAAACAGTGATTGACACATAAACATCCAAAATTTTCACATTCATAATATTAGTACGATGGGAAGTAAGATAGGATTCCGTTGACTCAGGATCATGGAATTTGTGAGGCAAAAACTAGGTACCTTTGCTAACAAGTAGTCCGAAATTTCGTAATTTATAATTTCAGTACGTGAAAAAGGCTATTAAAAATAACAAACTAGGGAGTTGTTAATTCTTTACCTTTTTTCAGATACTCGGCAGCTGGTTTACCTAAAAAGCTAACATAACTCCTAAACTTCGAGACGTCTGTCGCTCGCAAGTCAGTATCTTTTTTTTTTTCATAAACGACTGTATGATATCTCTAAAATCGTACGAGATAATTACATACTTAAGCATATAGCTGTCACAAAAATGAGACGTTTTCGCCCTATAAATCCTAGATTATTCATGACAAAATTTTGTATCCCAAAATGTAAAATAAAGGAACTTGTCTCGGTATGCAAGAAGACATGTATGCAGGGTCACGTTTGAAGTCCGCTAGAGTTGATGGAGTAGCAAAAAGGTACTACCAAACTGGTAGTAGTAGTCAAAGAAAACAGCCGAGGAGATAAAATACATTGTATATTTGCCTTTAGAAGCAAAGCCGTTGAAAAATTTATAAAAAGTTTTACTTCTTTGGAAATGCACTATTGTAGGGAACAGATAAAAGTGCGACAATACCTTCCATCTAGACTTGAAGACCAAAAACTGTTTAAGATGTACGAGAATCAGGCTTCGCCTGGTTTTGGAGTGAAATAGGGTTTTTTTTTTAGAAAACATTTATCACTAGGTTTAATATTGGCTATGGTAGCCCGCCAACCAGAGAAGCTGTACACTAGCAAGCACATGGTAGGTTAAAAAACGGTTTAAATCCTTAAACCCCAGTAAGTCTTCGGTGGCAACCCTAAGCTGTGGCGCCATTATTGCGTCATCAATATTTCTAAACTAATTCTATTATGTCCAGCCATGCTTTTTTTTAAAGACAGATACGTCCATTGTTTTAGTTCATAATCTAATATTATGTCCAAACCAGTTTTAACAATTTTAATGAGTTTGAACGTTAATCGTTAGATTTCTGTTATCAGGGATAAACATTGTTAAAATAAGATAAATTAAACTTTATGGTCTATAATATAACGTAGCTGCATCTGCAAACAAATATTTGCGTCTACTTATACAACACCTAATGACGTTCGATATTTATCAACTTATTTCATCGACAGACTAAACTATTTAATAAATTTTATTGCAATTTTCCCTTTTAGTTAAATATTTAAATCAAAACTTGGCTGAAGATTTCTTTTGCTATTATAAACAATGATTAAAACGAACAACTACGTTTTACCCCAAAACATCCAACACAAAGTTTGCGATAATCTAAAAAGTGAGGTCTGCATGCAAACCATGCAAACTGTTTATGAAAGGACATAAAATTATTATTAGGAAACAACTCGATTTTGTATGCAAGAATTAGTTTTACAAGTTGTACTTTACATACTGCAAACATCTAAAGATTATAAAATCACGCAAACGCCCCTATCTCTTTAGCTTCTGTATTCATAAAAATTTTGCATATGTTATTACTGTATGTATATAGTTGGAATTACATCGTATCGGTATTGTGAAACCATGGGAATATTTATTACAATCTTTTAATATATAGACCATCATTTAAACGATTTTATGGTTTTGTACCAGCCAGAACACTATATCGAATACATAACCAGCGTGTTCTAATGAAATACAGTAAAACCTCACTCTAACAATACGTTTGCACTGAGAAACATCCAAAACGTAATGTTTAGAAACAAATCGCATAAAATAAATCAGACAACTTGTGTTTGTTGATGGTGGCGTCCGCACTCACAAAAACTGTGTAAAATTTTCAACAGATATTCAAATCTTTCAACATGACAATATTTCTAAAAATTTGTTTTCAAACATTTCGTTTCTGTAGTTATAAAGATATAATATTGTTAAAATATGTAATGTACAATAAACTGTCAAACATATTTCACTACACGTTCTTTGACTATGCAAACGCTTTTTGATACATTGATGGGAAACAGTGTTTAAAACATGTTTTCATGAAAATCGCGACAGTGCAAACTCACGGAATAGAAGTGAGTGCCTAACGAGAAAAATAAAAACCACAGAAATGGAATCAGCTTTTTGGTCTTCATTGACAAATAATAGTAACATGTTAACATAAATTTAGCCTACGACTATTTTTGTGAATGTGACGACCTGCGGGGTTAGCAAAGACCGCATTGTACGATTGTTGACGCTATCTATAAAAATAAAAGGAAATCATCACTAAGTCACGTAATATAAAGTTCAAGTATGTAATTACCATTAATTTTATAGTTTTCTATAGCATTAACAATCGTAGAATGTCATCTTGCCTAACCCCGCTAGAATGGTTTGTCGACCGGCAAGTATTGGTATCGTAGAGCAACACGACCACCGGCGGACCTGATTGGAGTAGCCATAGCATTGTTCCTCGATACAAACCAATGTCATTTTTTGCGGATATAATTTTTTGACAGAGGTGACGCCTGCGTAATGTCTACTCCCCTCCAATCCGCCGGTGAATTTTGTTGTTCTACGGTTGGTGTGACTGATTATAACAACGTTCAAGCACTTTCAAAACGGAATTTTGACATTTGACTGACATATTGTTGCGGCTTGCGAGTAAATGAAGTTAGTTTCGATATATCCAAGACAAGGCGAAAGTTTATATTTTCCTAGTCAGACTTCCATATTTTTAATTAAAGCACCGCTATTAGTTTAACGTTCCACGAGCATTTCAAGGTCATCGATTTTTATTTAATCACAGGTCAAAAAAACATGGGATTGTTTCTAACTTTATATTCATTTGAATTTAACAGTTACTTCCATATCAAAACACTAAAATAATTACCTATCTGAATAGAAATTATTTAATATGCAAACGCAAAAAGTTTGGGTGTCAGTTCAAAATATCAGTGTTGCATGCGAAAAAAGAGAAACCCTTTATATTAAGGTAAAATTACTAAAAATACATAACACTGTATCTATCAAAAGCTAAGAAATATACACTATTTTAATAGCTATATTTCTTTTATGGTTTTACAACAAAATGCAATATTCGAAATATTGAATCTCTATTTAACATTTTTCTACTGACAAAATTTTCACGTTAAAATACATTTAAAGTGTGTGGAGAATACATTTTAAGGAGTTATCGGTGGGATCGTGAATTATGGTGGTTAGAACATTATTTTTTTTTTGTCACATAGATAAACGAAAAATTGTCTTACACGAAACACTTAAAATTATTACTTGCTCATGAAAAGGTAATGGCAGTACTAATAATATTAATAAATTTTAAGTTATGTAAGGTATTGTTTGCGTGAATACGAAATGAACTTATAAAGTTAACCACTATTTTAGGTTAGTTATTTTTTTAAACTGTAGCAAATAGAAGGACTCACATCCTAACAATATCTGCAACATATGTTTCAGGGTTTCATAAAATTTAATATAACAAAAAAATCACTAAGCAATTTAACTCAACTACTACAACAAACTAAACAAATAAATAGAAAAAGCATTACAATTATTAAGCATCGAATTTAAAAAAAGCTTGAGTTTAATTAATACATACTATAAGAAAATATTTTTATTTATTTGAGATACTGTAAACAGTCTTAAATAAGAATTATAGAAAATATAATGTGATAATATGTATCTAAACTTTAATCAAATTCAAATGACAAATAGGCAAAGCACGGTATTATTAGTATTGTGATTTAAATTGTCGAAACGAGAGATAGGTTTAACGTTAACGTAAAGTGAAAACCGGATGCATATGCTACACATGAGCGTCACGCCACTGTACTTATAGCGTATAAAATATTTGGAAGACGTCAAGCTAAGAAGCCCACACAAGTGTCACACGTCGCAGGGACTTGGCTAGGCATCCTCCGTAACATTTCATACATTACCATCGCATTGGTGTCACATCACTGACGTGTTGCATACGCATACGGTGTGCACTATCCTTTATAATACTTTTTACAACTTTATTGTCGAATATAATAAATAATTTATTTTTTTATAATTTATAATATTTTTACATAAAAGTCATAAAATTCAAAGGCGTTTATGTTGACCATTGTATATGTATGAGTATGATGAATTCCATTAGTTAAGGGATCCGTTGCCCGCTTAGCCCTAACACACAGCATGTATGAAGCCTGAGGTTATTATTATGAAACACCAAGACAAGGTGTAGATGGCATTATGGATCACTGTGTAACCCCGGTAACTGCGCATCATTACGAATCATAGTGAATCGTTGTGGATCATTTTGATCACTGTGGAACACGTATTTATTGCAGAACACTGTGGCTTATGGCAAATCATGGGAGATCACGTTAGACGGCATGACGGCAATCGTCCGCAAGATGAGTTCCAGCGCCTCTTGCATTGAGACTCGCCGTCGGATAATTCGGCCGTTGACATAGTTCTTGATCCATTATCACCCAATTCTGAAAAAAAAAGATTATGCTCATTATATCATAAAAACCTTTTTAAAAAAGGAGTTTCATAATACAGTCCTTGGCTGGAAAAAGGCCTCCTCTCATTTTTGAAATGGTTATGGAACAGTCTATTAGTACACCACGCTGCTCTAGGACATATTGGCGAATCACATGTCCTCGAAATATTTTATTTGTTGGACATGCTAGTTTCTTCACGCTATTAATCCTTTAACGCCAAACACAAATTCGTTGGTGCCGGGGATTGTCAGGATAATTTCATAGTACGCGAGCAACCCGAGCTGGGCGTGTAATTTATGGCAAGCGCTAAGCCCCTGAGCTGCAACACTCGGCAAAGTTTAATTATTAAGTTATCTATAGTTATTATATCCCAGTAACTAATCTAGTTAGTCTCTAGAACGTTTTGTATGGCTATAGAAGAGGTATTTAAAAGATGCTCCCTACTCTTTGCAAATTATAAAATACCAAATGAAAATAAATTATTAATTATTATTATAGTAATACAGTCTGGAACTAGCCCTAATACCTGTTGATCCTAAATTGACTAAGCTTTTGATATTAGATTACTCGTAAACATGGCAATAGCAAGTAGCCATAATTTTACAATAACATGTTGACCACGAATTGTGCCAATTAATGTAGCTTTTGATATTGGATTACTGAAAACATGTTATGAAGTGTACCGTCACAGAAGACGCTGACTCCACTGTATAATATTGCTATTGTATATAGGTGTTGCTGGTCAAACCAAGGCGTCATACTTTCAGTCAGCAGATTTGTTTTGACCATCCTATAAAAACCCTTGCATTTAGAATAAGATTCATTATAGTCTTTATCTAAGTAGTGTAATCACTTAGTTAAAGAAGTCAATATTGCATAATGATTTCTAATATTTACGCGAACACTACACATTGATTAAAACTACTTTTACGGATTTTATCGCGTTTAATTTTACTTTTATTTTATTTTTAATTCCCGACGTTTCGGGTGCTTTCCAGCACCCATGGTCACGAGGGACTGAGGTGACTGACGTCCCGATGTCATTGTTAAACCCGGAGTACCTTCAGCTTTTTTAATTATTGTTTATGGTCCGATCTATCCAAAATGAACTGACTATGTCCTGAGGTCTTGTAATGGTATGCTTGGGTTTAGTTTTAATTTTATTGATTAAAGGGTCCCAAGCAGGTGGTAGTACCCAGCCTCCTTCTCTATTGAAATTAGGATGTTTTTTAATTTCAATAGCCTCACGTATCATCCTTGGTAGGAATCGGTGTTCTTTCGCGAAGATTTGTGGTCTATCACATCTGATGTAATGGTTGCAGTTTGTGAGCATGTCCGTCTAGGATATGCTCACAAACTGCAGACTTCCCGGAACGTTGATACTTCATATCAGCTCTATGTTCTTTTATGCGGGTTCTAATTGATCTTTTTGTTTGTCCTATATACTGTTATGTTTGTAGTATTATGTTACTGAAAAGTTCGTATCGTTTCTATGAGATGGCGCCACTAGAATAAAATCCGTGTATAAAGAAAAAAAAACGTTTATAAATTTGACAGCTGTCAGATTATTAGTTTGTGAGATACAGCATTTTGAGTGAAGCAACTTTTGTTATTTTGAAAAAATGGATAGAAAGGAATTTCTTGTTTTAATGAAACACTATTTTTTAGTGAAAAAGAGTGCCGCTGATACCAAAAAGTGGCTTGATGAGTGTTATCCGGACTCTACGCCGGGCGAAGCAACCATTCGTAAGTGGTTTGCTAAATTCCGTACAGGCCATATGAGCACCGAAGACGATGAACGCAGTGGACGTCCAAAAGAGGCTGTTGCGGACGAAAACATCAAAAAAATCCACAAAATTATTTTGGAAGATCGTAAATTGAGGTTGATTTGTATAGCTGACACTCTAAAGATATCAAGAGAAGGTGTTGGACATATCGTTTATGAATATTTGGGTATGCGAAAACTATCTGCAAAGTGGGTGCCGCGCGAGCTCGAAATCGACAAAACACTAGAACGTGTCGATGCTTCAGAGCAATATTTGAAGCTGTTCAACCGCAATAGAAGTGATTTTTTGTCGTCGATATGTGATAATCGATGAAACATGGATCCACCACTACACTCCGGAGTCCAGTCGGCAGTCATCTGAGTGGACTGCACGCGATGAACCCAATCCAAAGCGTGGAAAAACTCAACAGTCGTCCGGTAAGATTATGGCGTCCGTATTTTCGGATGCACATGGAATAATAATCATCGAATATCTTAGAAAGGGAAAAACCATCAACAGCGACTATTACTTATCATTATTGGAACGTTTGAAGGACGAAATCACGAAAAAACGGCCCCATTTGAAGAAGAAGAAACTGTTGTTCCATCAAGACAATGCGTCGAATCACAAATCGATGAAACGACGGCAAAATTGCATGAATTGGGTTTCGAATTGCTTCTTCTCCAGATATGGCCCCCACCACTCTTTCCTGTTCTCAGATCTCAAGACAATGCTCGCTGGAAAAAAATTTAAAGCCGATGAGAAAGTAACCGCAGAAAGAGAGGCCTATTTTGAGGCTAAACATAAATCTTACTACAAAAATGGTTTTGAAAAGTCGTAAGATCGCTATAATCGGTGTATCGCACTCAATGGCAACTATCTTGAATAATAAAATCGATTTTTTCCAAAAAATGTGTTTTTATATAAAACGATACGAACTTTTCAGCCCAACTGTTAATTAGTTTCAGAGTTCTGTCAAGTTTTCCTTGTATCTTTTGTAGCTGTTTATGTTAATTTGTCCTTATGTTGCTAATAAATTAAATGTAAAATTGGTTTAAACTTTAAATTTAGTTCCGCTAAGACTTATTTTTTTTTAATTTCATTGGTAATATGTATATTGAGTGATTTTTACTTAAAAATAGTTTTTCTCATACTTAATGTGATAAAGCCGAGTTGTAGAATAATATTATAGTCGCAGCACAAATGAGTTGGCTCGACCGGGGTTATCACATTATACCAGTTTAAAATAGCAGCTTAATTCTGCAATAATACTTTTCTGCATTGTGATTCTTAATTGAAAAGAGATGTAGGCCACAACATCCACTTACAATCAGGTGAACTGCGTGATCATCTGTAACCCTCATTCTAAAAACAAATTTAGAATGACACAAAATGTCAATTTTATAGTGCTGCTTCATTGTTAAATGTTTATCTTTTGCTAAGAGATAAATAATTCTCTGTCACACTAGCTTCTTGTATAAATCTTTTACGTCTCACGCGGTAAGATTGTGGAACTAGCTACCGAGCAGTGTACGTGCAGCCACGAAAGGCACCATCATTTTCTGGCGTTGCAGGAGTAGTTTGTCGATTAACATTTTTTATATCCTTGAATTCTAACTGTTCCCTTTTCCTGTTTTTATTTCAAATATTTTATAGGTGTTTGAATCAGAAACAGCTATATTTAATTATGTATGTACTATATATAGCATATTAGGGCAGCATTAAGCATATATATGTATATATTTATATATCTTGTATGTATATCTATATAATAATATATATGTATATTTATGTTTATAACATGTAATGCAGTATGTATTGTGTATGTCTACTTAAAAATGTTTTAACTCAGTTGCACTTTGCACCCACAATATCTTCTCTGCTTAGCCTGGAGGTAGACTGGCAGAGAATGCCTTATTGCATTAAGTCCGCCTTTTTGTACTCGGTGTGCAAATAAAGCATAAATAAATAATTGGGATATATAAATACTCGTACTTTGTACTACAAACTATACAGGTCTGTGTTTTACGACAACTTACAGACGCACGAAAAAGGTTGCTGTGTTATTACCCTAAATATAAAGTTATAAAAGGTAAATGTTTATATTATAATACGGTATTTTACACCATGTAAAATAAAATCTAAAAATATATATTTATGATAAATTTTGTAAAAAGTAAACGAGAAATATTGATTTTTGTTTATAAAATTGCATTATACGTTTTTTATTTCAATTTTAAGAATATTTTTTTCGTCTGTGCCTCAAATCTGCAAAACGCTGTCCACCATATTCGTGACGTCACTGATACCGCCTAAGGGTATTAGTGTGCTGTGTCACTGATCAAGAGGACTAGCTAACGCGCTGTGTTATTTGAAAATTTTTAAGTTATCATTACGTTATTGAGTTTTATTCCGAATTTAATTGAAAAGGCATCATGGAAGACAAATTCGTGAAAGCAGAAAGTACTAATCTACCAAGGATAAATAAATTGATGGTGGCAAAATATTGTGCATGCAATTCCAATTTTTGTTCTGCAAGTTGAGGAATGTTAAAAACATCAACGTAAGTAACTATTACCAACTTTTTTTTATACAAAAAACACAATACCAGGGCTGAGTGTATTTTGATAAAACTTAGTTTAGTAGCTATCTTTAAAGCCTTAAACCTTGTGCGATTAACTATAATTTCTGTAATGGTGTGCTCACCTGCCCGCATTGCGCGCGAACTTTTGTAAATAAGATCGACTATGTTAGCCATGCACGAACACACCAACGACAGGACCGGAGTTGAAGAGGTCGCCGTGGCCGAAATCGGTCGAGGATTATAATAATACTAGTTAGCTTATTAAAATCATTAGTTATAATATCTAAATTAACGTAATTTTAAACTAAATTTGACTTGCGGATACCCTTTACCTCATGATGTTTTGTTTTGTATTAAATGATATTTAAATATAAGTCATACTTACATCAAAATGATCTTCACAGAAGAATAGTCTGGTTTTTGTAGACAATGTATTCGGGTATCTCCTTGCCAGTATTTCTTATATTTAAATACTTGGCACTTAAATCCATAACTTCTCCGGCGTTGTTATGCTCGCATTTTTTTTTTGCATTCAGGCACAACACAACAATGATTTAGATAATAAGTCATTATTAAACATTAAAAAGTATCTTATTGCTTTGCAAAATCAGCAAAATCGACGATCAATCGACAGTGACGTC